GAATATCAGCACCACACAAAATGATAAGATCATCTGCAAAACTCAGAGAGGTTATTTTCAATTTATCACAATAAGGATGGAACTGAAAACCTTCTTTACTTTCTTCTGATTTAAACAGTCTGGTTAGATACTCCATCACCATTACAAAGAGGAGGGGTGACATCGGATCACCTTGTCTCAAACCTCTTCCTCCTTGGAAAAAACCAGTACTGCATCTATTAATGTTCAGAGAGAATGTTGCTGTTTTGATACACTCCATGATCCAACCTATCATCTTTGGTGGAAACCCATATTCCTGTAGCATCTCCTCTATAAAACACTAGTGTATAGAATCATAGGCTTTCCTGAGATCCACCTTCATCAAGCAACTTGGCCTTAAATTTTTCCTGTTATACAGTCTTACCAATTCCTGTGTCAGGAGAATATTTTGCAGAATAGATCTACCTTTCACAAAAGCTCCTTGGTTTATATCAGCCAATCCATCCAGAACACTACTCAGCCTTTTGCATATCAATTTAGAAATGCATTTGTATACAGTGTTGCAGCAGGCAATAGGCCGGTATTCAGTAGCATCTTTAGGCACTTCTACTTTAGGAATCAAAGCAATCAAAGTTGTATTCAACTGTTTCAACATTTTACCTGTTTTAAAGAATTCCATAACAGCCTCACATACATCTTCTTCTACAATGGACCACATAGATTTGTAGAATCCACTATTGAATCCATCAGGGCCTGAGCTCTTAGTAACATCTATACTGAACATTGCTTCCTTAACATCATCCTTAGTGAACTCCTCAGTCAGGAGAATTTGCTATTCAACAGACAATTTAATCCCTGAGTTGATAAAGCTACGTTGGATTGATGTTCTGGTCACATTTGTTCCAAGGAGTGACTGAGAATACTCCAGGAAGTGCATTTCCACCATCTTTGCATCTTCAATCAGAGTTCCTTGATCATCTGTGTAGGCTCTTATTTTGCTCCTGGATATCTTCTTCTTTAAACTGGCATGAAAATACTTAGTATTTAGGTCACTTTCCTGTATCCATTTCTCCTTCAGTTTTTGGTTATAGAAACTAATCACTGCTTTCCCTGCTAAACCACACTCCTTTATTGTTTCCCTTTCCTCCTGTTGAAGTTGTGTATTAAGTGGATCAGCCTTCAAAGATTCTTGAACATCATCCAATTTTTTCCTCCACTGTAATTCTACCTCTTCAATGTTTGAAAATTTCCTTTTATTCAACTCTCTGAGTGGCTTCTTCAACACTTGCTGCTTTTTAATCATTCTATACTAGCATGTCCCCTTCACCTTCTTTTGCCAGTAGTCTTTCACTATGGCCTTGCATTCCTGATCTTGCAACCACATTTTAAAGAACCTGAAGGATTTCTTCTTACCAACATATTCCTCCCCCCATTTTACTAAAAGAGGATGATGATCTGAAATCCCTGCATTCAAAACTGTGGTGTAAGCCTCAGGAAATGCATTTTCCCAGTGTTCATTGATAAAGCTTCTATCCAGTTTAGACAATATTCTCATACTCCCAGATTGCTTATTGCTCCATGTGAAGAACCCTCCTTGCACTGACATCTCCCATAGCTCACATTCCTCAATCAGCTGTTTAAATTTCCCAGAGTCAGAATTCATCTCTTCTCTGCCACCCAATCTCGCATTCTGTTGCATAACACAGTTAAAATCCCCTAACATCAGCCAAGCTTCATTAATCCCTTGTGAAAGAACTTTCAGCCTCTCTCATAGTATACTCCTCCCTTGAGCTAAGTAATCAGCATAAACCAAAGTGAGGTAAAATTACTTTTTACACTCCACTTCAGTAACATGACAATGTATAAACTGAGTATCCACTGTGATCTTCTTTACCACATAATCATCTTTCCTCTAAATTAACAGTATTCTCCCTTTATTTTGGTTATCATGATTACTTATATGACAATAGTTATACCATCTCTTTCCCATGAGCTCCATCATCTTTTCACCTCGTAATTTTGTTTCCAGCAATCCCATAATACCCACCTTATTCACAGAAAGGCATTGATCTACCTCTTTGTGTTTCAGAAGATTGTTTAGTCCTCTTATGTTCCATGATAGTATGTTATTCATAAGTACTAGGCCTTGGATCAGGGTGACTAGTTTCTTGATAGCAAATACTATTGATGGATCTATTCTTAATATCTCCTCTACTGTCAGGTATCTTAATGCCTTTGTGGTTTAATATCTGAATGCTTCCTTCTCCAAACTCAGTAGTACTCTCCTTCCTTAATGATGCTGTGCAGGATTTTGGAGACTGTTGTTTTGGAGTTTCCACCACCACTGCTTGTTTTGATTCCTGGACTTCCTTCTGTTTTCCTTCTGTTTTGAGAGTCCACTTCTTTTCAACTGGCTTGCTGCATTGTTTCAGATCATGACCATATCCACTACAATTGTTACATTTCAGTGGTTTCCATTCATAAATCACCTTCTGTTCTTGCACCACACCTACTTCATCTTCAAACCATACCTCCTCTTTAAGCTTTTCCTTGAATTCAACCTCTACTAGAACTCGTGCATATGCTGCTCTGAGCTTATTTTCTGTCATGTCATCCATTTCTATTGGCTTACCTATTATGCTGGTGAGCTTACTGAGAGAGGTGGTATTCCGGTATTTAAGTTTTAAATCAGGTAGTTGTATCCACACAGGGATCGATCTTAGTTCTTCCACATTAATTCCAGCTTGTACATCCCAATCCTTCACTATCAATGGACGATTACCAAACCACCCAACTTTATACAGAAGCGAATCAAACTTGATATTACTAATTAAAAGTAAAGTGAATTCCTTTTGGATTTAGATCTAAAACACCCTTCCAAATTAACCATTATTTTCTAAGAACGTACTAACGCCAACTAGACGAGAGCAACATTAAAAAAAAAAATTAAAAAAAGGACACGAACAGTAACCGTAAAAAATATTGAGCACCATGGGCAGTGAATTTCTTGCCTTCTACAACCTATACATTCTTGGAATTCTAGGAAAGCTAAAAAATGGTGAAAAAACCAATCGACTGGTTCGAATTTCATGACGATGATAATAGTTTATCAAAGTGGACTTGTATTAGGAGAGGACTGCTCTAACGAAATCCCAAATAAATAGTTGTAGTAAAATTTTGTAAACATCTTCCATGTGATGTGCAGTGATGAACAATAAAAAATAGATTGAATTAGGAACTACTGGTATAAAATTTAGAATCAGGACAGTGTTCTTCTACCATAAGATGCGTTGAGGAAGAATCAAAAGGAATTAGAATAGCAGAGAAAGAAGGGAGAAAACTAATGAATAAAGAATTGTGTAATCTCTAAACATCTACCAAAAGGGTGATATAGGCACATGAAAAAATTTTGCTCTCGATGTAAAAAAGTGCGCTCAATTTATCAATTGCCTTATTTTAAATTGACTAAACTAGTTAGGATTTCGGATCTCAATTGTATTCACGTCATCGATATATGTATGATTGTCTTGATGAAATAAACAAAAATTTGAATACCTAATCATAAATTTTCAAAATAAAAAATATGTATTTAAATGTGTGACTCTCAATCGCAATTTTACAGCAAATAAATTAGTTCCGAGTGAGGAGAATGGGTGTTCATACGGTCATACAGTGTCAATTATATTTTCGTTTTCCCCGTTTCAGTCATTTCTCTTACTTTGTTTTGCTTTGAAAATGAATTGTCCAAAGAGTGTTTCAGCCTCTGATCAATCTGGTAGTTATAAAATTATAGCTATACGATCAAACCAGAGAGTATTTTCCTAAATGTATCCCTCGTTTAGAAAGGCTGTATATTTAAGCATAAGAGTATTTGATGAATGGGAAAGAATCATACTGTACGTAACATTTGGTGCTCATCAATTTGGGCGCTCTATTTGAATTAATGGATCTCAATTGTACTAACGCCGTGCATCAACTCTCATAAAAGCCTTAGGGTAAGCTACGACTTCATCATTTCGGGCAGAATTTTAGAATTTATGAAGTCATTTTTGTACGTTAACAAATTAACTTGCGACTAACTAGGTTGGCTAGTTTTTTATTTTTTTTTTGAAAAGAAAAAAAAAATAGCTTAGCTAGACAAGTCTGAACTCAAAATTTTTCTCGTGGAGAAAAGGGATTGCAAAAATGCTTAGGCTTAATCCAATAGCACGCAGGCAAAGAAAACCTAATATTACGATTATTCACCAAGCCAGCCGTATCACAATGCCGCATATATTGTTATATACTAAATTCTTCCAAAAATGATTTTCCAGTATATATAAATCTAGATAGTTAATACATTTTATGCTAAAAGATAAAATCGAAATAAGACCATCGTTTATTAGCATATATAGATAGTACGCTTTTATTGTACTTAGTCAAGGATTTTTATGGAAGTGGGTTTTAAGTTTATATTGATGATAACATTATTTTACTACTCCCTCTGTCCCATAATTATTGTCCACTTGACCGAAAAAATTTTGTCCCAAAATTATTGTCCATTTGACTTTTTATGGATCAAGTTACACATTTGTCCTTAGTAAAAAACATTATCCATAAAATCTTAGTGGTTAAATAATTACTTATGTAAGGGTATATCCGGTTATTTAAGGTAAAATATAGTTAAGTTTGACCAAAAATAAAATCTTTCATTTTAGTAAAAGCTGGACAATAATTTTGGGACGGAGGGAGTATTTAATATATACGGTTGGTACACAATAGCGGCCGGAAAGAAAATTTAACTTTGAGAAAGATGGGTAGATATATATTTAATTTTTTCTTTTGAATATGTGATAGTGATGGTTACCCTTTTTTTTTTTTTGATAATAATGGAGGGAAAGTACGATTTACACTTTTTCCTTTGGCCATTAATTTACTGATCCAAGTTAGGCATGAAAAACTCAATAACCTTGGAGCTAGAGTTGAGAAAATTTATTGTATAAATATGCTTAATGCCTTCATATTTCTTCACAACATCTATTATCTACTCAATATAGATATTTATTTAGTGATATTGTTCTCAATTCAAACCTTTCTTCCAACTCCTACAATGGCTAAAAATATCATAAGCTTGGTTCTTTTCCTAGTTGCTGTACTTATAGCTTCAGCTCCATCAGCCAATTCCATCATCTGGGTTGGTTCTCTAAATACCCAAGGAATGTATGTTACAGGGAACGTTACATGCAGCTCCACCGGTAACCCTCCCGGACCGCCGGCTGACAGGGCAAATGTCACAGTGACATGCATTGGTTATTCGACAATCTTCGGACAAGCAATAACTGATTCCACCGGTGGATTTGCCATTCCCGTCATTTATACCCCATTGCTAACTAGCATTTTGTCCATAGTTTCACCCGGTCCCATCCCATGCTCGGTCGACGTTAAGCTTCCGGTCGATGGATGCTCGGCGCTGCCTTCCACTGGAACCCTAACGGCTCCTATTCAGATGTTGTCCTGTATTACGTTTCTGGGTGGTAGAGTTTTAGGTGGCGTGGGAATGCTTTATAATAGGGCCTCTTCAGGTGTTATGAGTTTACTTTAATTTCATGATCACCAGTAATATGCAGCTGATCACGTCGCGGAATAATCTTGGGATTTTATATTGTATCAATAAATAAATTTCTATGTCTGACAACAGTCTGATTCGTGTAAATGAGACAGTTATCTCAGCACGTATGTAATATGTTATCGTTAAGTCGCTAGCCTATAATGACAGCCTAGACGCGGACACGATTTGATAATAAAGGTATACACAATATTTTTATACGAAGTGTGTATTTGTGATTCTCGGTTAGTCACAACTTTTATACTATATACATAGCAATAAAATTATAAAATTTCAATTTTATTTTATTTATTTTGTTTGTAAATTTGTTTTATTATATCGTATAAGACTAAACCCAACAAAAACATTGGTTATTTTACACATGTTAAATTGTAAACTCTACATTGCTTTTTTTTTTTTTTTTCTTACATATGGAAATTCATTTAATCTAATACAACCAAAAGTAAACAAGGAGCTAAGCACGAATTCGTAGTGTGGGACACAACAACACATTTAATCAATTCACTCAAATTCAATCCCCCACGAAAAAACTACTAAAGACACGATTCGAACTCAACTCAAAGTAGTATAAAAGGAAAAACATTTAAACAAGTTGAGGCTTAAACTCTTAGCACCAGTTAAACACAAGTAAACTCCAAAAGAGACCATCATCAAAACAGCAGCAAAAAGAATTAACAAAATCGAAACTGCTGTAAAAAGATGAGATTAGAAACTTCCCTGGAGCTTTCGGGCAGAATTGAAGTGCATAAGGGGAGTTGATTTATCGGCAGAATTGTTGGTTATTTCGTCTCCAAGGTTGTGGTGAGCTTTGAATTAAGCCTCAATTTGAACCAAATCAGAAACATCTACATCTCAATATGACAACCACTGGCCTTCAAGAACATTGGCAAACAGAAAGCAAGTGGAACGGCCGATGAACGGAGGTAGGAATTGGCCAGAGTCGAAGAAGAACGGGGTTTGATGATGATGATGATGATGATGAAACGCTGATGATGGATGACAATGCCAATTGAAGTTAATTGAAGCAGCGACGGACACCGGTGAAGATGAAGCACAGCAACGGTGATGACTGATCATGAAAGGATGGTTTGATGGAACTTATGAGCAGCAACCGGAAATGGTGGCAGCAGCAGAGAGCGCCGCAATTGAGTAAAGCTCGCCGAAAGCGGAGCGTATCGACGATAAAGCAGCAACAATCGGCAGTTGCAGCAAGGAATTGGTAGCTCAGACGAGCAACTACGGCGATCGGGGATGGCGGTTGATGATGGTAGTGAGTGACGGAGCGAGAAAAAGTCGCCGGACGTGCTGAAAATCATCGAGAAATCTAGGCAGCTGGCAAGCTGGGAATTCTAACGTCCGATTGAATCAGGATGGGTGATGGTGGCAACCGTCAACTCCCGGAAGCGGCTATGGTGGATGGTGGTGGCTGAACCACGTCGAGAAGCAAACAGAGGAGAATCGATGCGTATTGACGATGGTGATCGGTTGATGAAGAGAGCGGCGAGTGACGGTGATGATCGTGGTGGAAGATGATAATGGGGCAGCGCCGACTCAATCCCTGGACAGTGAACGGTGTAAATTATAGCGGCAGTGAAACTCCCGGCAACGGCGCCAATTTGGTGGCATCTCAAATCCACACAAATAAATTAACCTACGTCAAACTACGTAGTATAGAGAAGTAAGGTCGTCTCCTCAGGGAACGATGGATTATTTCCTTCAAATTAATGCAAAGGAGATTTTTTGGATTGTTTTTCTAAACTACAATAATAAAATTCAAATAAAAAAAAGTTAATAAAAGAAAAGAAATCAAAATTAACAAAATTCTGACTCAAGGGATGGATAACTCAAGTATTTCAGCAATCACGGGTTGCTAAACTATTCAAGCAATCTAAGCATCAACCAAAGATCTATTAGGATAGCCGTAATAAATCTAATAATTTCCTGAATTAACTAACCAAGTCTAGCACTCAATCAGTCCTTATCATAATCAAGCTGGGCACGATAGCGTTCCATGCCAAACAATGACAGCATAAAAACTAAAGAAATATAGTTGAACCAAAATCTAAACAATTGAGATAGTTACAGCTATTCAGACTTTGTCTCATTGATTCCACATTTAAACTAACATGCATATTCAATGTCTCACCAATATACAGGCTTTGTCTAATTGCTACTAAGTACCGCCGGTTCGTGTCTATTACGTAACATTCAACTAGCAGATAGCACTAGAAAATAAATAACAAATCAAGTTGTCAGTTTGAATGATATCTACTTTCATAAATAAAGAAAAGAATCAACAAATACTTAAATCATAGGCAAGAACAATAATTAAGAACAAAACCTCGTAATGGAATAACTGAATAAATCCCTTGAATCAGAAAAGAAAACTTAGCCACTCATTGTTGGAAGTATGACGGTTGGATTCTCCATGGAAAACAATGAAAATTCGGGAAAAACAAAAGGTGGAAGGTGCTAGCCTATGGCTACACACACGGCTGCCCACAAAAATAAAACAAAAGTCTATTTATAAGAGGACATTAGGTCAGCCGCTGGAAAAGAAAAAGAGATCCATGATTTGCAATTTTGCTCCCTCAAGTTTGTAGTATTTTCACTTTTGCCTCAAAACTTCTTTAATTTTGTATTTAAATCCCTGATCGTGCAAAATCATCCAAAACAGCTCCAATCTCTTATTTCCAGCTCCTAACATGAAATAATAACAAAACTAATGAATTAAATCCATTCAAGTCCATAAACTAATAAAATATCAATAATTAAAACACAATTTATGGACTCTATCAATAATAGTAAAGATGGAATAAGACCGCTAAGAAACGGTCCTTCATGATTAGATAACTCTAGCAAAGAATTTCTCTTTAGAAAAATAAGTAGTGTTTGGTTTTTCTTTGCGGAACATTTTATTAGAACCATGGGCTATCAAAAATATTAAAATAATAGCTAAAATCATTGTACATTTTTAACATACCAAAAACTCAAAAATATTTAAGGACAATCTAGAGTGACATGTTAAAGTCATAAAGAAAAAAATGAAAAAGAAGTGAGACTTGCCATTTTCTGGTTCAATGGGCTATAAAGAAAAATACTAAAATAGGGCATGTTCAGTGAAATGATGTTAAAAACCGGAATGTAACTCTTTCATAATTATATAACACCATCTAAAAATTTCCCTTTTGATAAGTAAGTATTGTTTGGTTATATGTTTATTTATTTATTTATTTTTCAGGTTTAACAAATAGCCAAAAATATTAAAACAACAGTCGAAACCATTACAGCTATTTAACCTACAAAAAGCTTAGAACCTTTTAGTCATGACAATACAAAGTGACATACTATTAAAGATGACAATAAAGATGAAATGAGATCGACGGAAGACGTCTGTTTCATAATTAGATAACACAAGCGAATGATTCCTTTGAACAAGTAATTAGTGTTTGGTTCCTTTTTTTTTAGTTCAATGGGTTAAGACCTTTTTTCTGTATAATAAAACATTTCGAAGATTAATATCTAAAATCTCGAACTAAATGCTCGCCGTGCAACACACGGGTACAACACTAGTTCATTTATATAAAAATTCAGCATGATTATTTAGATCGGATAGGATTACAAATATGATAACTAAAATTTGAAATTTAAAGAAAAATAAATATTATCTTATCACATAAGATTTCTATTTGACTATAGCTGTAAGTATAATGCGTAACTATGGTAAAGTAAAATATATTTACCGTGCATTAAAATTTCGACAAGTGTCCCAGAGACTTTTTTCGACTGAGCCAGAAGTCTCAATTCATCCCGAAATTCTCCTTTCTTAATATATTAACATTTCTTTCTCTCAAAATTATTGTCTAACCAGTACTTGTCCCACGCGTTACGTGGGTGTGTAAAATAAGAGGGAAAAAATCGGACCTTCCCTATAATCATCTCCGGTGCCGCAACTTCCAAACCAAATCATTCAAACCAAATCAATCAATGCAACAGTTGAAATTAACCTATATATGTCATGAGTTGAAAGTTTTTATTCAAACAGAAAGGAATCAAAAAACAAAAGAGAAGAAAAGAGAGTTGGATATCAAACTTAATACCTCCGATAGCAACGGCGAGGACAGAGGGTATGACAGTAGCGGCGACGGCAGCAGCGGTAGAGGGCGGTGGTGTAAGAGGCAGAGGAGAAAATTTGAGAGGCAAAAAAAAAAGATCTATTTTGGTGAATTATTTTACATTCATCTTATTCATAGAAGAAGATAAATGTATTAGAGAAGATTAAATGAATAATATTAGAGAAGTTTAAATGAATAGTATCAGAGAAGGTTAGAGATTTGAAAGATTTGATTCTGATATATATTTTCTAAATTTAAATATTTTAAATTTTAAAATGTGTTAAAGAAGATAATGATCGTATTATTTATTTTTTTGAAAATAAATAAAGTAAAACATTAAAATAGTCAAATCCGGAAAAACAGAATTACCAAATTACATTAACCGTTTAATGAAACTCAAACGTGGAGGCGATACGTATCCCTAAAAGCTATTGATGGTCTAACTAAGTTGAATTAGTTTCTGCGAGCCACTCTCCTTTAATATGTATATAGGATTTAGATTTTTATTTTTAGTATAAATTAAACTAAAATCAAATTAAACAATGATTTTGGGAGGAAAGAAACAGTATATTCCAATAGGATAAAATACAAGGTAGTTTTCAATTAGAAAGAACTAGCTAGTGCTCGGTCCATTATACAACTTGGAAGTTGGAAGTGAACTCATTGTTGTAGACAGTGCTGCATGGGCTTCTAACCATATTCTACCATAATTAAGTTAACAATGACAGGGAAATTAGAACACCTTTTAGGTGACGGAAATTTCAAATCCATGCCTCATGACTGACAAAAGAAAAAAGATATTATGAGATAGTTATATTATCTTAATCATATCTGTAAGGTGAAGGAATCTTTCATTTTTATTACAACTTGAACTTAAAAAATTCCTAATGAACAATCATTTCGATATATAGAGAATATAGAAAACTACTTTGGAATTGACAATGCTTCCCTGCTTCTAAAATTTTGCAGCATTTTGATTCTTTTAGTTGACCTTTTGAGAATATAGAAAACTACTTTGGACTTTTTTCCCAAATATTTAGTGACTGAATAATATTCCTAAAACAAATAAAG